TTTAATATCAGTTGGTGAGAAATCGCTGCACCTGGCGATCACACAAAATACCTGGGACAACGTTTTTAAATAAATAATTGATGCGAAAGTTCCACGACATATTCTAAAAAAAAAATATGCATCTAGTATTTCATTAAAACTTGGGTTTGGGCTAGTTGGTCCATTACTGAATAAAAGGTTAAAAAGTGCAAACAAACGAGGACAATAAAGAAACACGGACGACAGGACAGGCGCTTTTTAACCTTTTATTCAATAGTATTTCATGTTGAGGAACAAATCCGATTTCCGTCGTTCCGAGTTTTAGGGGAAAAGATATAGTTTTTAACTTATTTACTGGTCTAAATAAAATTGTTTTAGACCCTTGAATGAGTTTATTTTTAATCAATTTTCTTCTGACCGAACAAAAACTTTGTTTAAAACTATATTTGCCACCCTAATAACGATATCAGCATCGTCACCAGTAATAAATAAACTGGTATTGTCCGCATAAATTATAAACTGAGTTTGATCATCAATATTACCAATGACATTTATCGAAACATTAAATAATAATGGTCCAAGGATGCTTCCCTGGGGACCTTTCACCCTTCGAAAACGAAGATTCTTGACCATCAATATTTACACACTGTTGGCGATAATACAAACACGATTTTAACAGCATAAATGGTGTGCCGCGAACACCATTATTATTCAGTATTGCAAGCAAGGTTTCGATACTAAGCCAGGGATAAGCTTTACTAAAATCAATAAAAGCAACAAGTGTTAATAGCTTCCTTTCAATATTTCTTCATATAATTTCTTTTTGAGTAATAAAGCTGATTCTGTAGATTTGCCTCTTTGGAAACAACACTGAAAATTTGTTAGTACAAATTATTTACAAAAAAAAACTCTTTAGACACGTTTCAAAATAAGTTTTTAGAATTCCTTTGAGCAAATAGGAAGAACAGATACAAGTCTATAATTGTTAACATGTTTTTCCACCTCCTTTAAGGATATCTGATACTTTAGCTCGCCTCATAATTTCGGAAAATTTACCATGTAATAAGGATAAGTTAAATATATTTACTAAGCACGGTGCAATAATGTCTATAACAAACTTAATGTTGAATAAAAATGTTGAATACCTCTTACTCGTCTGTAGGTTCTAAAAAGACACTGTTGTTTCTATGACGAACAAAGCATAAAGCGCTGTCACTTGGAGGCCTAGCTATGGTACTTTCAAGATACCCATTAAAATGTCCTGCAAGTCGGGCTCCAGACACAAGTTGGGTGTTTATGCTTAGTTTACCTGTGTTTCAGGACACCCTCTCTTGATTAACGGCTTCATTAATTTGTTTCTCAATAATATCTGGGCGTAATCGATTGGCCTCAAGAAATGTCTGATTGTAATATAATGATTTTGCTCTCTTTATCTCGGCAGATAATTCATTACGAAATTTCTTAAAGGGACCATGAAATGATTTTAAAATCGAGTTTCATCCACCGCACGTCGTAAAAGGTGTGAAAAGAAACACAAAAACACAAAAATAGGGAGCCAAAAAAAATTATTTGCTATAGAACTTTTGAAAGAAAACTGGACTCTTTTGCGCCTTCCTTCCTTCGCCTGTTCACTACGATGCATCCGCGGAAATGGAGCACGTCAGCCAAATCCACGTCGCCTATTGGGTAAGAGCCTACCTCACCAGCACCGCGATCGTAAACAATAAATAGCCGGCGAATGTTTCCTAAAAGTTTTGTTAAATAATATTCAGATCCACATTTTGTAGCATAATTAGAGATGTGTGGCGAAAATTGCCAAATTTGATAATGCTGAGAGCCAAGCGCCATCTATCGTGTGGTAAACGAAGCAACTACTGCGCGTGCGCAGTAGGGCAGGGCTGGCAGGGCCGACAGCTACTTGGGTGGCGGCGACCGACGAACGTTTATTTTCTTTGTTTTCCTTCCTCTCAAAACTCTGACTGACTGAACGTTTATTTTTCTACGTGTTCTTCCCGCGCGTGCCTACTTCAAGCAGCAAGAAAACAGTACTTAAAACAGACCACGACGAACAAGAACGCTGGATCCACCGACTCCGACGAAGCGAGCTGCTCAGAATATAGGCCTAGCAGGCATTCCGACCGGCGCTGCGTTGCTTCGTCGCAAGACCGTCTGCCTACGACCGGCTGGCGTGCTAAATGGAATATGCCCGCGCGACCCTTGTGGACCCTTCCCGTATTATAGTTTGATCGCTGACCTCAGTTCTAGATTAAGAGGTGAGGTTAATCTCTTCCCCTTGTTTTCCGAGCCAGTGTTGACGAACACTCGTCGAAAAGAAACTCTCGTCGATTCTATCTTCTTGTTTTGTGTGATATAGAGCTGAAATGAACGCCGTATGGATTACCTTGGTAACACGGTATGTACACTTCGTTATTGGTATGCCATTTTTATTCTGACAGACTGCACGTCACTGTCGAGCTATAACAGTTCGTGGGAGGTATACGTACAACCCCGGTCCAACCTTTCTTTGCCGAGTGTCGCGTCAGTATCGAGTTGCAATCGTAAAAGAACGGTCCCGAAGCGCTTACAAGCAGCGCGAATACAGCACTTCCATCAAGCGCGCGCGTCCGCTCCGAGTATAAACAGGTATTTACGTGGCTCTTGCTGACACTCGTAGTTCAAACGTATCTTTTTTAACGTCGGCTCGCTCCTGCATCTCCGAGGCCGCGAAAAACGCCATCTACGTCGCTTTGCTAACGACTGACACGGGCCGGCCCTTCTGCCAACAATGACAGGGTGGTTGACTTCTGGAGTCTTCACCGGAAGACTCGCTGCACTTCCCAACAGGCATACCGGCGTATGGGACTAGTCCCATGCTGTCGCTGTAGCGCAACATATCTCATTGAATTTCGCTCAGCTGCGATGCGGCGATGAGAGGCGCCGATTCAGGAAATACGTCGGTGACATCAGCGCAGTAAAACCTTCCGGCGCACCCCAACTCGTTGCCGCTAACACTCCCATTCTCCTACTGCCGAGAGAACTTCCGGTTCCGGAAACGGCCTACGTCACGGCTTGTTTTCCGGTCAGTTGGAGAGAATGAAAAAGTCGATATTTCAATAATTTTTTGTGTAGAAGTTAATAAACCGAGACGAAAACGGATGCCTGTTCGGCATTCAGTGAACATTGACGGTTTAATGTAAAAGTTATCTGGAAAAAGTGAAAAGGTCATTTCATGGTCCCTTTAAGAATGGGAGGTTTATTTTAATTCCTTGTCGTCAAAAAAACCCTGTATAAACGATCCATTTTCTGCATCATTTTAACATCCATTGGGGTAACTCAACTTTTTCAGATTTTTTAAGCTCAAATTGTTACTTTAGCGAAATACAAGTCGGAAAATGTTTTAAATGATTTAATTAATTCGTTATATGCATCACTTAAATAAAAGTGAAAATAAGTACCCCCCATTGTAATTTGCAACAGCGTTTTTAAACACAATAAGGGTAGCCCTGGAAATATTTTGTACAGTATTTAATGTTTCGTAGGCCTGGTCTTTTTGGTTGTGGATTTAAAAGACTGAAATATGGGATTGTGATCGCTGATATCATGGCTGATAGTCCCAGCATTTTGAACCTCGGTGTTCATATTCGTGATTAAAATTTTGATCGCATTTGATGTACAGGGTGATTCAAGGACAGGCCAGGCTCTTTAAATCGACCGCGAAATTCGGTTTCTTAACTTACCGCGCTACGACTTTGTGCAGCGTTGCCCACAGATGGTGCATTTTTGTTGTAAAATTTGCAAAGAGCGAACTTACCCGAGGAAAAAGTAAAGAAAGAAAAGGCTCAGCTGCTATGGAAACGCAGCGAAGACACCGGTCCTCATACAACACGGCGCCGTTTCGCACGGGAGACAAGAGATGGCGCAAGCGGTCGCGACGCCAACCGCTGCCAACGAACGACCATACGACGCCGTGAGCCGGCGTCTTTAGCAGATAAGGAACTGCAGTTCCTTGTTGTTCTCACGCCTGTTTTTGTTTCTGCGACTGTCGCCGCCTGCGGAGCGCGCGCCGCTTTTGAGTTGAAAAGATTGTCTGCTAAAGACGCCGGCTCTCGGCGCCGTATGCTCGTTCGTTGGCGGCGTTCGTTGCGCCATCTCTTGTCTCCCGTGCGAAACGGCGCCTTGTTGTTGAAAGCGCAGTGTCGTCGCTGCGTTTCCATAGGAGCTAAGCCTTTTTCCTTCTTTACTTTTTCCTCGGGTAAGTTCGCTCTTTGCAAAATTTACAAAAACAAATCCACCATCTGTGGGCAACGCTGCACAAAGTCGTAGCGCGATAAGTTAAGAAACCGAATTTTGCGGTCGATTTAAAGAGTCTGGGATCTCCTTGAATCACCCTGTAGATAAGGTAACCATTGTGGGGGAAGTGATGATGTTTTCAAGACAGCACAATTTAGTGTTGCTGTCAATGATAAACTTTGAAATGAGTATTGAAGTATGTCTATGTTAAAGTCACCTGCTAGAATTAAATTATACTTGTTTACAGACACATATTCTAAAAAACAATTTAAGGAAAGCAATGAAAATTTCAAAGTTTGTTGGTGGTGGGCGGTATAAAACATATATATCGCTATTTACATGTTTTAAGCTCAGTATCTCATAATCGCAAGTAATCTTTGACTTTGTCCTTGTTGTTTTCGGCGCTTTTATACCTTTTAATAGTGTTAAGCTGAATGATTACTGTACAGGTAAAAGTAGAGAAGTAAGCACACCATAATTAAGTGTTAGAAATACGGTATCCAACATGATTTTCCATTGCTTATGAAGTTATGAAGAAGCACGTAAGGTCAGTATTAAAGTGAACTTATTGCATGATTAGATTCGAACGTATGCTGGAAAGTTTATCCTCAAGTTCTGAATTTTTACACTCTTGGCATAAATAATTGGCCGCAAACCAAACATTGCAACATTCGCCGTTCACAATCCGCCGTACGTAGCGCTGGTAAAGAGTGCATGGCAGAAGTACTTACAGCAGCCAGAAGTACGCCAGCGTAAAGTGCCGCTTTCATGGTTTTTTTAAGATTCTTGTAACGGTCGGTGTCCATCACCATCAGTATTTCAGGCCTCAGTACAGTAGGAACTGGGGCGGATTGGAAATAATTGATTTTATTATATTTTTAAAAATGCGAGGCGATTGACTGAGGAACAGTGCCGGTTAAAGGGATTGTCCGGTCAAATTTTGTATTTGGAAAACAATTGAATATCATTGTTATTGCCTCGAGACGCATCATACGTGCAATATCTTAATTTTATATGCCCCTCTGCATGAGCAATTGAATTTATACTGCTCCAATCGCACTCTAGCGTAAACGCTGCTTTCGGTGGCAACATTGGACCTCTGACGTCACACAACACAATGCGAGCATTTCTGTCTAGTCGTTTACCTGGTTTACCTGCGAGTGAATGCCTCAGCGTGCTTCGTTTTTGTTGTTGTGCTCGGCTTGTTTCGTGATTGGGTGAGGTTTTCGTCGCGCGGTTGGGTGCCACAACCACCGGGCAGCACATACGAGCCAAGACGTGACGTTTCACACTTTTCCGCGAGATGTGCAGTGACGAGCAAAATGGATCGTCGCCGTGCGTACGGACTGGGTTCCCTTCAAGATCGAGATCCCGCTTACGCAGTAATCGTCTCACAGAAGAGATCTACGAGCTGAGCTCTATGCGGACAGAAGGCTCGTAAGCTGAGGTGTGATGCTCTGCCAACGATATTCAACTACCTCCACCCACTCCTTGCCCAAATCGGATCAGTCAATTTGATTAGGCAGCGAAACCGAAACCAACAGCTAAACCACCTGGAAACGATGCCAGAAGTTGTATTTAGCACGCGTGCAGCCCAATTATCAAAGAAAAAACTGTGAGTGCGCAGGCGAGCTGGTGGATGTTGATCATGATGTAGAAACCCCGAGACAGTGGTAAAAGCAGGGAAACTTGGTCGAAGAAGAAAGACAGGGTAACAGAACGTCGAGACGTTCTCTTACCCTGTCTTTCTTCTTCGACCAAGTTTCCCTCGTTCTCTTACCCTGTCTTTCTTCTTCGACGAAGTTTCCCTGCTTTTATCACTGTCTCGGGTTTTCTACATCATGATCAACCGCCAAATTATGTTTGACTCGCATGTGAAAATAGAGTGTGGCTACGATTCAGATTCATGCGGTTCAGAGAAGCTCGTTTTAGCGAACGCCGTTTTACCGACCCCGGTTTATCGAATGACTTTATAGAGAACCCAGTTTAGAGAAAATGGCGATGAGCCTCCTTTTAGCGAATTCGGCCGCCGCGAAGCGGCGTATACGGGTAAATCAGGCGAGTTAACATTTTTGTAAAAAGCCGCCGCACACTGCGGGAGCGCAGCGGGGGGCATGGCTTAACACGCGCACCAATGATACACGCGAGAACTACGAAAGCCTTTTTTTTTTTTTTAAAGCGTCCCCTTTGCGATCAACGGCGTTTCTCTAAACTGAGGCTATGCTTTCTTTATACCGTGCTTCGATAAAACGTGCCCATTCTCTAAAGCGCGCTTCGATGAAATGGCATTTGATCAACCGTAGTAAACCCACTACGATTCACCAAGCTCGTCCAATTCAAGTGTCGACATGCATTTGAACGATTCGCCGTTTGCCTTCGACCCGCGGGCATGGCCTCCGAGGGAACAGCCCGCAGCCTCATCACCAATCCAGTGGATCCGCCGAAATGTGTACCCAGACACCGCTTCGTGTACCCAGTTGCCGCTTCAGAGGCGAAATCTGCATCCTTTAGTTTGCAAGCGCTCCTGGTTCGATCGGTGGCCGTCGCAGTTGTGTTTGTGCGAAACGGCATACGTTTGCTCAAAGCTTATGGCTGTTTTCGAGTAATATCCTGCTAAAAGGTGTGACTTTTTTTGCACACGCTTGGGAACTGCATTAAAAAAGCCGTATTTCAGTAGAGTACAGCCTAGAAACCTATATAATGCGAAATAAAATACAAGCCATCCGTCGACCAACGCTTGTTATCCCGACCATCCGACAAACCTTTGCGTTTTGTGACGTCACGCAGCAGCTACGGATATCAGCCACTGACACTGGCGTAACTCGGGGTGGAGTTTCGTACGTACGCTCATGAAAGGTTTAACGGGAGATCATTTATCAAAATAAAAATGACAAGTGCTGATTGTTGGGCAAGTTGGTATGGTGCGTTAGAAAACATGATTGCGCTTTGAAGACAGGGACATAGGAAGAACAGACACCACAGAGCGCTAGCGCTTTGTGGTGTCTGTTCTCATCAACAGAACAGAGAACAGACATCACAGAACAGACATCAGATCACAGAGAACAGACATCCCAGGTGTCTGTTCTTCCTATGTCCCTGTCGTCAAAGTGCATTCATGTTTTTTTTTGTTTTTTTTTTAAATGACGTTTGTTTACATGAAGGCTCCCTTGACGTAACGAGCGCAAAAACTTAAGTACTTCCGGATTCGACCGGACAATCCCTTTAAGTAAGGCGTCAAGTATTAGAGGCCACATGCACTTTACCTTGTACACTCCTTTCCTTGATGAATTGAGCTGGCTGAAGTGGTGGAACTGCAAAATCTGCGCAGTGTTTATCAATAATGATTTATGACATCAGACACTATATGGATTACATTTCTCAAAAATGTCCTTTCTATATGCATGGTCTAAATCCATTTTTTCCCATGTTGATCCCAAAACAGACGATGAGATAGTGCATATATGCGTGAATGTATATCTTGAAAACTAAATTACAAACCGAACCCAACAATCTTATGCTTTGAGAATAATTAGTCATAAAAACGTACATACAAGAAAACAGATTCTTTGGTTCATCGGATTAAGTACGGTTCACCTATCTGCATAGTTTCGTTTATTTCATCCTCTTAGAACACGTACGATGACGAAAAGTGCCCGTGATGTATAATAATAAGAAAAAAAAACGTGGCTCCTGATTATCGCAGATGACGATGATGGCGTGTTTCTTAAGCTCATAAACGAAAGGAATAATATATACGTGACGAGACATACAATGGGAGGATTTCTGGAGCACAACGAGCAAGTACCATGTGCCATCGCACCGGTAGCCTTGCTCCTGCTGCACAACTGGTAACTTTAGCGCACTATTACGCTTTTCACGCGCGCAAAGTGTTTTTAAAATACTGATTTAGTCGTTTTTTATTGCGGTCAGCAAGATTCTGATTGGAACCATATAATTATTTGCACTAATTAAAAAGTTAATTAACAACTGTCAAATAATTAGAAGACTGCTTGTTACGATTAGCCATCTATATTATGTTTCCTGGCCATATGCGGAGCGTAAGTTCGTCTCATTATTTTTCAAGTTGTCGTTGTGACGTCAGAACACCGAGCTTTGATTGGCTTTAATTGAAGGGTAGGGAGAAGACCTCAAACCAAGGTGCCTCTGCCCACCATTCTTCAATCAGAGCCAATTAGAGCTCCGCATTCTTACGTCACCACAACCACCTGCAACAAAAGCAGACAAACGTGCGCTCCACATAACTCTCCAGCACAAACCATATAAATGTAGGGTTGATGGCTTTTCAAAACAAATATGTTAATCTTAAAAAAAAAATAAGAAACACCCGGTGTAAAACTGCAATACCTCAGGAGAAACAGGTAAAAAGGTCATATTTTCAAATTCTTTTTTTTTTTGCACCTATAATTGTGAACACATAAAACAAATTCGGACATATCCGGTAACATCAAATATTTTGAAGGATTTACTCACAATCGCCACGTGTGTTTGCAAAGTGCTCGTCAACACCGAAAATTTCGTGTGCAATGAGTCCGGCACTAGATTGGCCCATAATATTAACTGGTTTTATTCGTAGTGATTCGCCTATAATTCCATGCTGTGAAGAGGGGAGAGGCAGTAATTTGTGAAACTAGTAGTAACATAACATTAGTAAGCAGTGTTTCTATACTGAGCCTTTTGGTTATTTTGGGCCTTGTGATGAAGTAATCCACATAAACTCGAATCCCTAAAAAAGCCCTCTCCTGTTTTGACGCAAATAATTAATGGTAGTTATGTATAAGTTGCTACATTGTAAACTATCGATACGCCATGCACCTATGTATCATCTAGCATGCATTTATGATTTTTTGCGTGCATTACTCACAGTGACATATTCTCGCTATGTCTATCAGTGAGTTGTCTTCTATCAGAACGTGTTCTTTGTCAAGAATAAGTATATGACTGCCTTGTTGTAATGACTAAAATCAGAATTACTGCGCAGGCGAGCTGGTGAACGGTCATAATGAAAAAAAAAACACAAAAAAACCTTGAGACTAGGGGAAAAAGATGGGACAAGACAACTCTTTCTCAAAACTCGGCTGCAAAAGTTTATTTTCACGGGTTGGCGTTGGTTGAATAATTGTAATCTATAAAAAAGAAATGCGCTAAAAAAAGACTTTTCAGCTGAGTTTTGAGACGGTGTTGTCGAGTTTTAGGGCCTAGTCAGGAAATATTTCTCTGTGATTGTCTGAATGCATTGTTTAATCTTTTTCATTAAAATTTTGAAGCCACAATATTCGCTCGGGGCGTTTCAGTTCTTCGAACAAGAAAGCACATTCACCATAAGGGGAGCTCGACATCCCGGATGTCCGTAGTTTGTACTGGCTGAAAACGTGAAGCTAAACTTTTTTAGCGTGCGAAGGCACCACTAAATAATTTGCACCCTCGTCCCCTACGGTCACGTTTTTCTTCCTCCTAAGTTGTGACGTATATTGTAGAAAGCTTACAAAATTTAGCAATTACAATAATTGAACATGTGTTAGCATCCTGCTGAGCACGAGAGCCCAGAGAGAGACGAGGACGACGATGAGCACCCCCGAAACGTGCAACGATACGAACGTTAAAAGCCCTGTACATATAAAATACTTTCTACCTTTTGACAACTGCGTATTTGACGACTAACAAATCAGAAGTGGGATGAGCACGTTTGCGACCTGCACACGGTGAGAAGCTTTATTCTACGATTCTCAAAGCGGTAGAAACAGTTTCACATCGGACCAGCTCGTTCTAGAGATGACTGACAGCACCGGGCACGATCTACGAAGGAAGGAGCGCTTGCGAAGCCGTCCGCAGGGTACAAGCCAAGGTTCCTGCGAAAGAACAGGCGATGAAGAAATCACGAGCGTGGCTGTCGTAGACAACACTCGATCCCTTTAGCAACATGACGAAGCGAATCCTGTAGCTGGGACTGCTGGTATCGACGACACCGACGGAGTCGCTGATGCGTTGGAGAAGCATCAGGTAACGGAAGTTCGTGCAACAAATGAAGACTTCGCTACACTGCTGCAAACGGCTATCCAGAGTTCCGTGCGGGAGGCGATGAGCGGCATGGCTACGCTTCTTCGTGCCGGCCAACAGCCACTTCAAGACGCGCGACCACCTGCGGACTCTGGAAAGCTTGTACCTGTCTTTAATCTTGTGGCATTTCCATCGCAGACAGTAGAACAATGGATTAGAAAAGTTGACGAACTTTCCACAATCTACGCGTGGAGTGATCGACAGACGTCGTGCTTTGCCATCACGAAACTGGAAGGGGTTGCAAAGACATGGTATGATGGACTTTCGAGCGTACAGCGATCATGGCAAGAGTGGAAAGATGAATTGAAAAGATCGTTTCCAGATGTGAAAAGCTGTCAGCGTCGCCATCAGGAGATGGTGGCTCGAAAACGACGAAAGGGTAAGAACATCGAATTGTACTTTCATGAAAAGGTTAGCCTCGCCCGTCTCTGTCAACTCCCTGAATATCAAATTGTTGAGTACGTCATCACTGGTCTTGATGACGAGGCGATGGTGCGAAGTTTAAGCGTTGGAACTTTCTCTACGCCAGAGTCATTGCTTGAGTGCCTTAAGCGTATAGACGACCGACTCGCCGTGGTCAAGGCAACACCCACCCGAAACGAACGGCAGCCTCCATCAGGTGGATCGCATGACCAAGTCGAAACGCGGAACGAAATCGGCGCCCGGGCAGCAGGCCCGTCAGGTGATAATAACGGACGAAGGCCTCTATATAACCACAACGGAGAGTCATTATGCTTTAACTGCAACGATTACGGACATTTTGCAATTCACTGTCCTGAACGGCAAAAGCGGAAACGATGCGAAAAATGCCAGCGTGTTGGTCATGTGGTTGCCAACTGCAGATTTAATATCAAGGAAACTTTTCCGAAGACACATTGCCTGGAAAGTAAAGAAACAGTTGGCGCGCGAAATGAGAAATACCTTCAAGAGGCACTGATCGACGGGAAGCCAGTCAAGGCATACTTGGACGTTGGTAGTCAATGCATTACGCTTCGTCAGGCGGACGCCGACTACCTCGGTATTGCTTATACGAAGCCTACAGATATGTGCAAAATTGGAGGCTACGGTTCTGCTCACGTGATTCCTTGCGGAATCACCCATGCGCATCTCACCGTCGACCAGGCCAGTGCAGAAGTGCCCATCTACATCGTTCCATCTGATGTCCAGGCAATTCCACTGCTTGTTGGCCAACCGTTTACGGATCAGCCCCACATTACCGTTGTAAGACGTAAAAACGTTCGACGAATTTTCGAAGAGAACGAGAGTGCTGATGATGAGGACGACCGGCTTAGTGGCATTAACGTCCCAAACCTTCCAGCCCGTCGTGCCACGTTATGGGCAAACGAGTCAACGGTCATACCCCCCGGGTACATTGGCATTGTCACTTTATCAGCGGGAGGCGAAAAAGACGGCGACGTTTACGTCGATGCCCAACTTCGCATGCAAGAGGGTAAGGAGCATTGCTTGCCCTTCTGCATTATCCATGTAGACGAAGATGGGACTTCGTTCTTGCCAGTCCTAAATGTTTCGGATTCCGCTATTCATGTTACGCAAGGAAAAGTGACTGCACTTGGTACCACGAGGAACCCGAAACATCTTGCGACCACATTGTATCTTTGAAATGTCTAATACCTTTAGGCCAGAAGATGTGCGCACGGGAACCGCATTACCATCTGATGAATTTAAACGACTTCTCAAGTTGATCAACGAGCATCGTGATTGTTTTGCGGATAATGTCTTTGAGTTGGGAACCACAAACAAGGCCGAAATGAAAATTGATATCGCAGAAGATGCAAAACCGGTGTCTTTTCGACCGTATCGTCTACCGTACAATCAGCGACTGAGAGTAAACAAAGCTATCGAAGAGCTGAAAGAGGCGGGTATTGTTTGCGATTCCTCGTCCGAGTACGCCAGTCCGTTGCTTGTTGTGAAGAAAAAGACAGGCGAGGAACGTTTGTGCGTTGATTACAGAGCACTCAACAGGGTCACTAAGAAGGACAAATACCCGCTTCCCTCGATCGAAGACCAGTTGGACCGACTACATGACAAGCGCTATTTTACGACTCTTGACTTGACGTCAGGGTATTATCAAATTCCGATGTACAAAGAATCACAAGCGAAGATGGCGTTTGTAACTCCCGATGGACACTACGAGTTTATAAAAATGCCGTTCGGACTGACCAACGCCCCAGCGGTGTTTCAAAAAATGATGAACGTGGTATTGGGATCCTTGCGTTACGGAGTGGCTCTAGAGTACATGGATGATATTCTCATCCCGTCGCGGGACTTCAAAGAAGGTCTTGATAATTTGCGAAAAGTGTTCCAAGTTCTTCGAGAAGCGAGACTGACACTTCGCTTGAGCAAATGCGTGTTCAGGGCGGAAACAATAAACTACCTGGGATTCGAAATCGGAACCACAGGACTCAGGTCAGGTGTATGTAAAATAAAGGCAGTGACTGACTTCGCAACACCGAGAAACGTCCACGAAGTAAGGCAGTTTATTGGCCTTGCAAGCTATTTTAGGCGTTTCCTGAAGAACTTCGCAGCGCTAGCCGAACCTCTGACAAGGCTTTTGAAGAGCAATACTTCTTGGCGATGGACCGAGGAGGAAGATTCCGCATTTTCTTTCCTGAAAGTGTGTTTGCAGGAGAGACCAATTCTGGCCCTATACAACCACGAAGCCCCAACGGAAGTGCACACCGATGAAAGCAAAAATGGTTTGGGGGGCATGTTGCTGCAGCGCCAGTTAGACGGACAATTTCATCCCGTAATTTATGTGAGCCGTCAGACGTCCAAGGCGGAACAAATGTACCAATCCTACGAGCTTGAGGCCCTCGCAGTCGTTTGGACTCTTGAGCGGCTTAAGGTTTACCTCTCCGGTGTCGACTTCACTGTAGTCACGGACTGCAACGCACTGCGAGGCACGTTGAGTAAGCGCGATATGTTGCCGCGGATTGCTCGCTGGTGGTTGCGATTACAAGAGTTCATGTTTAGTGTTGATCATCAATCCGGTACCTCTATGACCCACGTGGACGCTCTGAGCCGGTCTAGTAGTGGTCAACCTGAAGACGTCACTATTTGTGATGGTCTACACGTGCTGCCAGCTACAGTGATTGATTTTGACGACTGGCTGATAGCAGTGCAACGTCAGGACCCTGAGGTCAACAAGGTACGGGACATATTACGAAAGCCGGCAAAGTCGAAGGAAGACCAACGTCTTCACGAACAGTACGAGCTACGGAGCGACGTTGTTTTCAGAAAAAACGAAACACAGAAGGTGTCGTGGGTAGTACCGCAGAATATGCGTTGGCAGGTAGTTCGGCGCTGCCACGACGATCTCGGTCACCTGGGATTAGAAAAAACGTTGAAGAAGATGCAGGAAAAGTATTCGTTTCCTAGAATGAAACGATATGTTCGCAGGTACATCGCATCGCGTCTAGAATGTATTCATCACAAGACTCCGACAGGCAGAAAGCCAGGAATGTTGCATTCCATTGAGAAAGTTGGCCTGCCTTTTTACACAATCCATATTGATCATCTGGGACCATTTCCACGAAGCAGACATGGGAACACTTATTTGATCGTGGCTGTGGATGCATTTACCAAGTTTGTACTGCTGAGACCCGCAAGAAACACTAGCGCACAACCAACTGTTTCGTTCTTGAAGAACATCGTTGGCCTTTTCGGCCCTCCAGCAAGGGTTATTACAGACAGAGGTGGAGCTTACACAAGCAATGCTTTCCGGAGGTGTTGCCGTGCATTAGACATTGCTCATGTGCTGAACTCTACTGCAAACCCGCGAGCGAATGGACAAGTGGAGCGGTACAATAGAGTTGTTACTACATCAATTGCCACCTTGACCACCGACGTTGAAGGCAGGGAATGGGACGAGTTGTTGGAACAAGTTCAGTGAAGTCTCAACATTACTTTCCAGAAGGCCACTCGTACGACGCCCTTCCGGCTGCTGTTCGCTTACGGGTCTAGACATTTTAAGGGAGATTTCCTCGAAGATGCACTACGGGACAAAACCAACGTAACTGAAACTGAGATGGCGACAAGACGACAGGCGGCCATACACACCATTCGTGCAGATCAGGAAAAGCAGCAACGTCGCTACAATAAGAAGAGGTGCAGCGCTTCGACCTTATAGCCCGGAGATATCGTCGTGGTGGAGAGAGAATCACTTCCAATAGGACATTCAAGGAAGCTTTTAAAAAAGTTTCAAGGTCCCTACGTAGAAACGGAGAAGCTTCCAAATGACACATACCGTGTAGAAGACATTCCGGGCCGATCACTTACTCAGCGTTTCTACACGTCTACGGCCCCGATTGACAAGATGATGCATTACTATGCCTTCGACTTAGACAACGAACCCGATCATGACGACTGCGAAGACGAAGAAGACAATTGAGGCAATTTTTCACAGGATGGCCGAGTGTTAGCATCCTGCTGAGCACGAGAGCTCAGAGAGAGACGAGGACGACGATGAGCACCCGCGAAACGTGCAACGATACGAACGTTAAAAGCTCTGTACATATAAAATGCTTTCTACCTTTTGACAACTGCGTATTTGACGACTAACAAATGCGCTATGCCCCACATCTTAAAATATTTAAAGTCTGAAATGGTGGTCGCGTGCTCTTCGCCCGTTTCATGCCAATTGCAGTCGACAGCCTTACAGCTGTCGACTGCTGAAACAGTTGCACTGCGAGCGACAAACAAATCAGTGGTGGCTCGGACAATAAGGCACATATTTTCGCACGAGATTATTTTTACAATTTTAAAGGAAGTGTTATTGAATGCGGTTTGTGCAGGTGGGTTATGCGTCCAGGCGGACATTATGTGGGTGGCTAATCTTTGCGATAAGTAGGCTAATTAATTCAGATTCGTTAATTAACTTTTTAATTGCTGAAGATAATCATATGATTTAAATTAGAAACTTGCTGAGCATCATCGAAAACCCCTAAATCAACTATTTTTAGCAGGATATAACGCCGGGGCAGCATTTTCCGGCGTTCTGTAATGACGCTCCATTTGGACGCGTTTCTAGATTTCGGTTTCTTATCAGAGCGCATTTTTGCGCCCGCAATCCTGCTCCCAGGTGGTCGCGCCGCGAAGCCACCTCCTCGCCTCCCTCGTAGAATGTAGGGGAGTGCGGCGTACGTGTGTTGCGCGTCTCAGCCACTGGGGAGCAGGACCGCGCGCGCGGTGATGCGCTCCGATAAGAAACCGAAATCTAGAAACGCGTCCAAATGGACCGCTTTTACAGTACGCCCGAAAATGCTTCCCCGGCGTTTTATCCTTCCAGAAACAGATGATTTAGTGGTTTTCGATGATGCTCTACAAGTTTGTAATTGAAACTACATGTCTATTTCCACTAATTAAAAAGTTAATTAACGAATTTTAGTTAATTCGCCGATTTATCGCAAAGATTAGCCACCCACATAATGTCCGCCTGGTCGTAAAACCCGCCTGAATAAACCGCATTAATGTAGCTTTCACGGATATTTTTAAACAAATGTGTAAGAATAAAAAAACACCCTGTATATACTTGCAAAAGAAAAGGGAACACCACATTTCTTTTATTGCTTAGGTTCGCAAGGATCATATACTAGAAGCTTTTTTTCTATATCTATGTATTTAGGTACACTTACCGTTTTACTTTCATTAACTATTCTATAAAAGTAAGTAGCAATTTTCTAGAATAAGTTTCTGCATTTTCGGTGCTTTCTGCATTTCGTCTTAGAGGGTGGTAACGCTCCGTTTAAGTCCATGTCGCTACGTTTCACGAATGCACTTTGAAAATATCCTAAGGAAATATTTCGTCATTACCACGCGCAGTCCATTATCTCTTTCAACAGATACGGCCGCCCTTTGATCCGTGTCATGATATACCATTTTGTTAAGCTCCGTTCCATTCATCTGAAACGAGGAAGAAAACATAATTCCACTATTTGTTCTTCCGACTTTAGATTTTATGCTGCAAGATAAAAAAAAAAAAACACTCACATACTGTTTCACCGGGTTTCCGTCTTCGTCATACCGCAACAAAAGCGTCTCCGGAAAAATATCGGCTGGTTCCAGTGATAGAGTAATGTCTTCATTGATAAACAGCGTTAGCTGATTGCCGTAATTTCGAGCCTCTATTACACGTGGGTACACAAGCCTTCTCCCGAGTCCTAAAAGGGAAAAAAAAAAACATTTATGGGACAATAAGCCCTTTGCCAAGCACATTCAAGCAACGTTCTTGATACGAGCTGAGCTGAATTCACGTCGAACACTGATGCAGCTTTTGCTTCCGAAACATGCTCAGCGTATGTGCCCAAGCAATGATTTGTTCGGATAATTTTATCAGTCGCAACTAGATGACATGATCATCTGAAAAGGACCTTCATTTGTTCTGCTGTAGGCTGGCCGCCGATAAAAAATAGGTATGAAGTACATCTGGAAGGCTTACTTGAGGAGTTACTTTAACTAATCTTTAGTTCTTACACCTTCTTGTGCATCATTGACATTCATATGCGGCACCGCTTAGTACCATGCACTAAATTAGACTTCTAAGCACAAGCTATTTTTATAAGAGCTGCCCACCGGTTAGTGCGACAGCCGTTTTTTCACTTTTATGTGACTGAAACTCATTCAAAGGCGAATAATCATTCAACAACTTCGCAAGCCGTAATTTCAGAACAACGGGATATTCAAGCATGAAATTATTTTTTAACGGAACCATGAACCCCAGAATTTTATCATCCCGTCGTCCGTTCGTTCGTGCCATTTCCGATAATTTTCACGAGGAATCGAAGTCACGTGACCCATACGTAAATTCAGTTTCACCCCTAAATTTTGATAGTTGTCTTGAAATAAACAATTCAGTTTCCGCGCTAACTTTCTCGGAAACGTGTACGTCACGTGAGACACCCGTTCCTTCTGCCCAACCCTCCACCTCACTTCCCCCTCTCCTTCTCTCCCCATTTCCCCCTCTAGAGTGTCCCACCATCTGACTCCCTCCCCTCATTTGCCCTCCCTCCCCACCTTCTGCCAATACTTACCCCCTCCCTCTCTTTCCACCCCTCACCATTCTCCTACAATTCCCTCTCTTCCTTCCCACTTTTCCTCCCCCTCCTTGCTCATGTGACACACGAAACCCGATTCACAAAGCTAAAATGTGGAATATATTCGCGTTTCCAGCGACCTATAGGGGGCGCCACCACCAAACACGGCGGCTGAGTCCAGGTCGCGTCGGCTCGGCCGGGCCGCCTGAACGAATGACGCATTCAATTTAACAGATTTTCTTTTGTTTAACGCCTAATTTTATAGGTATTTTAACTGAGGCGGTTAAGTGTAGCCGGTGCACATAAACTTATAGAGCATAGTTTTGTTTTACCGGTGTCTTTTGTCCTTTCATGTCAAACTTTCGTTTTGGAGATTTCGCTCAAAACCGAAACTATGGGCTCTGGAGAGACGGTAATAGACGCTAATCAGTTTTGATCATCTAAGGAAAGCAGCGGTGAGTACAGAATTGTTCCACCGAGAGTAATTTTCAGCTAACTCGCATGCCTCGACCATGCGACTTATCTGTCCGCGAAATCGAGCTTATGTGAGTGTCCGCGTTTTCCAGTCGTCTGCTCGGTCAACAACACAGGCTGCAGGAAAATTACGAATATTAAGCAAGCGCTTCTTGAGCCAAGGAGCATGTTAACCCGCGGGCGCCCCACTAAGTAGCTTATACTCGTATTTGAATTCGGGTTTTAGTAGCAATCGAGGAGTCATTTTGATGAGCGGGTTATGTTTTATATTACGTACCATGTCCCACTATAGCGATATTAGTATATTCTTCAGGTTGAAATATAAGCTTAGTTGACTAGTTATTAAATGAACTGCTGAATAAAAGTATATTTGACAGACAGAGAGCTACTACTTAAATTTAGCCAAATGGTTCTAGCCGGTAGCACGTAGACGATTGCGAACAAACTGAAGAGAGTCTTCATCGGAGATTCACGCAGAACTTCTCTGCATTGAACTTGAGTTCGAATCGTGAACGGAATAAGAAGTATTTCTTTTGTGGCCAGTCAACCTGAGCAATGTGGACGTACATTGCTGCTAGCTTCGACGGGGGTATAATATAAATATTGGAGGCGCGATAGATCATAACACCGTGACAGCTTCTTACCTTGGGACAGGCGACCCCCACCTTCTGAAAGCAGATAATTTCTCTCATTAATCATATGCAGCGAGCAGGTTTTCCTGAATCAAGTAATTACGAAATTAGCCAAACTCCTTCAGTGTGGTCTAGAGGCTTTTTCGACGAAAAGCAGCCAAGATGAAGGGCCAACGCACACACTGACGTGGGTGGCTCAATCTTGAAGCTAATCAAACTCAACCAAACTCAAGAAAAGCAGCTATCTGACCTTCCCATTCACTTGACTGCAACATTAGGGTTCCCTCCAGTGAAACACCTCGTCTGCCGTCCTCAGTCCACCGCTCTACACCCTTATAAAGAAACCACTTATCAGTTACCAAGTAGTGGTCACTTGGAATGTGATTCGAAGCAGACAAAAAATGAAAACAATTTTCCGCGATTCCTCCCCATCCAAGAAATCGAAAGCACGCGACCATGAGTTGTGGAGTGAACGGGCTTTTAAACATGTGATGGAAGGAAACGATCTACTGAGGCTTCACCACACTAATAAACACTCAGGCAAACTTAAGAAATTTTCGGACCTTCGTCCAATTACATTGTTCGCCACCGCGCCGACAACACGTGTCCGCGAAAGCCACCGGAGACGCGGACGGGCGCGGAGCGACCTGGTCCGGCTGGTTCTCGGTTTTGCAGCTTGGTGGCGTCCGTTTTGCTGGAGTCGCTAATATGTCCCCTCGTCCTACAAAGAGTTAAATTTGGCGGGGAAATATACGTCACGTGACACACCGATTTTCCCCTTCCCCATCCTTCTCCTGTCTACCCCTTTTCTTTCTTTCACCATCCTCCCCCGTCCCTCTTTAGGTGTCCACACATGCGTCTTTTCCCCTCGCTCCCCTTTCCCTCCTTCCCCACTTTTTTAATTATTTACGTCCCCCTCCCCCTTTCTGCCCATTTATCCCTCATTCTCCTGCAATACCCTCTCCTCCCCACCCTTCTTGGTCATGTGTCACACCAACCCAGTTCGCCATTGATTTTCGTGTAGAAATATACCTCGCCTGACACACATATTCCCACTCCACCATCTATCTTCCCCCTCCCTTTCTCTCCCCATTCCTCCCTTTTCCTAAACTGTCCTCCCCATCTGCAGTCTTTTCTTCAGTTTCCCTCTTTCTCAATCTAGCTCCACTTACCTATCCCTCTTTGCGCCTCTCTCTCCCATTTTCCTACGATACCATGCCTCCCTCTCTCTTTGTCATGTGACGCACCAAATTAGTTTACTCACTCAATTTAAGGGAGTAGAATAGAAAATGAGATTTCTGGACTATCCCCCATTCCCCAACTTTGACCGCTTCAAAGCACAATACTTTTAAGACATCTGGCCGTTATAAAAAATATAAGAGAATATTATTATAGTGCAATTAAATGCAAAGGTGCAAGCGAGCTGGACAAAAATAACGAAAATAATCCCTGGAGAAGGGGAACAAGAGAGACAAAGGACAAACACAAATCTGCAAACACAGCTAGGTGACTGGTGCGCGACCGATAAAATGTCCCCTTCCTCAGGGATTAGCTTCCTCATAAGAGAATATATTGTCCATAAGTCGTACCCAATATATATTCTCCCATCAGGTCAGCTAGACGGTAATCTTTGCTTAAAGCTCCCTTTATTCGAAAGTCTTCGGTTGTGTAATTCTGTTCCTACCCGTTTTCAAAAAACACTTTATATTTTCGTAATCTCACAGTATTATCAACTTTGAATTACGGCTTTTTATTACTATTTGGTGGAGAATACAGATTTTTTTCGGACTTCATCATTTTTGCTGCGGCTTCGGTCGGAGTCATTTTAATAGATCGATGACAGGATACAGTATAGTTTTTAACTAGTTTATCTAAATCCCGTGGATCATGAACGTTTCCAATTAATTGTTTAATGTTCTCTTGAATCTTTCCGCAACAAAGACCTTAAGTTATGAATAAGTACTAAAAATTGTAATTCCTTTATCTTGAAACAATCCCAGTACTTTACTACAATAAAACTCTAGCCCTTGATCTATTTCTACCTTTTTTGGGTATTCTATTTGACTAAAATATTTCAATGAAAGGCTGTGTTGTTTGTTCACCTGTTTTGTTTTTTAATGGTATTGCCCATGCATATTTAGATAATATATCTATAAGAGTTGGAATATATTTATAATCTTTGACTTCAGCAAGATCAGCTTGCCATTCATATTCGATTATTTGAATGACCACTCTGCGTTTCTCAAATTTGTTTCGAATTGGTTGGATCTTGTATATACATCTTGTTTATGAGCTAAATTTTTCCCGATCATAATAAACATTTTAAGGACTTTTATTTATGAATATATTTATAGCCGTTCACTTTTTGTTTTTTTATATGATTCTCCCTAGCAAGATATTTGGTTGCCTTTATAAAATCATTATCACTATCCCTAACCTGAATCTCAAAATTTTCAAGTTTCTAAGTTCAGAAATTCTTTTTAAAACTGGTAAGAAATTAATTATGATTGTCTTCTTTCGTGTACATTCAGAGTTTCATGAATTTATCAACGAGTAAGATACTTAACGTCAAACCAGCTAAGGGAAGGTAAACACATGGACTTAATCTACTTGCTGAACAATCTAAGTGAAAGCTAGGAATCCACTTGAATGCTGATAATAATGATATCTTTTGAATATGTATACCTTCTACTCAAGTCATTCTTCCATTTATATGCAAGATAAAAAAGACATAATCATTTGTTTACATTTATTTACTGAATTTGATGAAAATTCTTGTATAATACCGCATTGCGTTTTACCGCCTAGACGATTTAGAATATAGTTAATACAATAAAGACCACATACAAATAAGTTAATACTTTGGATCTGTGATGAAATATAGAGTATGTCTTCATTTGTTTTTCACAGATACTTCAATATTTCTTTAGCAGGGGGTACGACAAACCTATAAATAATTCAATATACTTTGGAAAATTAAAATAACTAACCCAATCAATTCCAGGGGATGAAAAGTTATCATTATATGTCACACCAAGCTTGTTTTTTTCTTAAAGCTACATATTTTTTTAAACACTACTGAAGCCCAGTTTCTGCTATAATATAAAAATAATATCTGTAGAACTTAGCGGTGACTTCATTAGTTTTTTTAGCCAATAATGGTAACATCCTGGCCAGAAATTTTCTCAGCAGTTATCGCAGCTCCCGCCGTATTGACTTCATATAAGGCACTTTTTACAAGTGGCAGGGCTCTGGCTGTTAGGCTGCCAAGGCCAAAAGATTGGCAAAAAAAAAAAACACCTTCTTGAGTGTTTGATTTTCTAACTTGGTTTTACAGAACTTTATGTCCGCAGGCTTACCATTTTTTAGTTTGTGAATTTGAGTGGACCCAAGAAACAGTGTAGAATTTGTTGGATTATTCCTCGGGTCAATTCGAATTTTATATTCTACATTCGAAATTGAAGGCTTATGCTTCTTTTCTTGACCTTTTGATATGTGTACTGGGTATAGGATATACATTTATTTAAAAACATATTCTAATTCAGCAAACACCATTTTACCATCAGATAAAGTTACATAAATTATTCTATCACATTTGTACATCATATACATTTTTTATCTTGTAGCCAGGGTACTTCGAAGTTTAACATGTACCTGAATGAGAGAGGTATGAACATTTTCAAATACATTCGTAGGCATATTTGTAACATCGAATCAGAATATTAGATACAGACTTGCATATGTTCGTTTTGTTACAACAGTCCCGGATCCGCGTCTACAGGTGTAAATCCGGCTTCCAAAAGTGCATTATAGGCATAGTCAATAGAGAAATTGGCCAGTTTGAAATCACAATGAATTGGTGAAAATCGATGGGTGTTTGCTTTTACATTTATAGTTTCCAGGTTTGAATTATCAAACAGATATGATATCCAGTTGAAGAATTGATTCTAGAAATGTTTTAGAAAATAATATAAATACATTTCGGGTTATCTAATATTCCTTGACAATTTATGGTGTGTTCTGTATTATAAAAGTCTATTGTTCTAGAGGTTTTGGACCTTTCCCAAATATTGGTACCAATCTCATTTCTTTTTAATCGCTCGGTTTTGCAGGATCGAGTTTCCAAATTTGGTGCTATCTTTGAAATCTTCCGCAATAGCCTGCCAAAGAGAACTTCGCAATTTCCGTTACTTAACATGTCTGTGTGATTATTTTTAGTTAGAGTTAGCTTAAATGTCATTCCTTGAAAAACTTTATCCATTCTGAAAAAAAAAGTATTAGATCTCCGATTTTACCAGAATGAATCTTCTACCACCTTTGATTTTTTGGTGATTTTATATCTCTTCGGTTTACTTTAACACCAGTGACAGCCTTCAGGGCACCTACGATGACTTTATATTTGTTTTGTTCGTATGTTTTAGACGTTTTTGAATACCAAATCTAGGACGTGGCTGTAGACTTCGACAAAACACATAAGTAGGCGATAAATTTCGCGATCGTTGAACTGATTCCAAGAAAAAAGTAGATGTTTGATTTCTTTTTTATTAACAGTTAGTCTAAGTTCTAAAAATGCATTCGCTCCAGTATTATTAGCAAATGTAACAATATCAGCATCAGTGAGATTCGTATCATTACTTTTAACAATCTTTAGTCTGCATTAAAATACACTCGGAAAACCTAAGTGTTGGTGTTTGAACACATAAGCTCTCCTTCGTTTCGAGATTTTATTAGTGTCGTTGGAATTTCTAACAATTTCAAAATCATGATGTTTATCAGTCGGAATATGCGTTTCTGTTTCTCGTAAGTTCGAGTAGTCCATTTATAAAATAAAAAAAAAAATTAATGCAAGAATGTTCTTTTGCATTCCGTTATGTCCTTTAGAATTCCAATCATGCATGTATTTGTAGGAATGATTAATCCACTGACCACATGTACACTTCATATATCTTCTTTTAGTCTTTTTGTTTTGGTTTATTGAGTATAGTATTATTAAATATGGAATAAAAGTGTGAAAACCTTTCTTGGTCATCATTTCTAATAATTTCATCGATTATTTGTTTACTTTTTGCCGTTTATTTTCTTTCATTTTAATAGGTAAAACAAAGGCCTCTGAGGATATTCTTTTGTTTTCTTTAAAGCTAGAGCATCTGGAAGTTCTTTCTTCGCCTGCTCTTTAAACTGTATTAAAACGTGAGTTGTCAGTTAGCGCTCATCCTGTCTCCTTGTCCCTCCTTCTTTGTTGTTTTACGCTAGATATCCTCATGATGGACAACCAACAAGCCTGCGAGATCATTTTATCTTCAACTTCTTAGCCACAGGACAGAGGTCCTTAAGTGAGAAATCTTTTATTATGGACTCAATTTATAAGAGAAATGTTTTGATCCTTTTAAAAATGGTCTTAACGAAATCGAAAACGTTTTCCCTAATAGAGCTAGTTTCTAATATAGACTTATCATGTTTGTTTCTCCGAAGCGAGCAGGAAGAAATCAATCGAATTAAAAAAAAAAGACTGACAGTCTGCTGGAAACCGGATACGGCGAAACAGAATATGAATAGAGGAAGTTTTAAGCGACGGTGTTCCGTATTACCATCTAGTTGACATAAAGGGAGAAGGTATACTGTTAACGATTTATTAACAAGATATGGTCTTATATCTTTTTTGTAAAAGTTGAAGGTCTTAAATGTCTTGGACTTTGAAACGGTCAAGGTCGGAGGAATGTGGTATAAACCAGGACTCTCATTTTCTATACTACTTAGATGGGAAATATACCTCGCGTGACACACCGATTTCCTCTCCCTATTCCTCTCCTTCCATCCCCTCCCCTTCTCTCCCCATACCTACCCCCTCCAAAGATGTCCTCCTCATATGCCTTTTTTTAGAGCGCAGCTCTTAGGCGCCCGTTCCCGGCTTGAGGGGCGTCGGCGTCGCCGTCGCCGTAACCGCGCGGTGCATTATGGGTAAATTTCCCCGCTAAACCTAGCGGAAAAATTTCCCCGCTAAATTTAGCGGAAAAAGTTCCCCGCTAGATCTAGCGGAAACATTTTTCCGCTAAATCTAGCGGGAACATTTTCCCGCTAAATCTAGCGGAAAAAATTTCCCCGCTAACTCTAGCGGAAAGTTTCTGGGGGTCACGTAACCCCCACGTGACCTTGGGGATGGGGTCGTGTGACCCCACCAACGTCACGTGACCACCCCCCCCTCGAGGTCACTTGACCCCTCCTCCGAAAACACGTGAACCTCAGTACCCTTCCGTCCTTCTCCTCAAGAGCTGCGCTCTAATTCGGCGTTACAGGGAGTTGCTTTTTGTCCTCGCTTCCCCTTCTTGCAACCTACCTCCATATGGCTTCCCTTCTTTCCCCATTCTCATACAATACCCTCCATCACTTAGTTATCTGACATATAAAATTAGTTTCGCCGTTCAATTTAGCGGATAAATGTATGCCGTATGACACACCGATTCCCTCCCCAATTCCTCTCCCTCTTTCCTCTCCCTCCATCTCCAAATACGTTGCCTCAACCTCCTACTGTGCTTTCTTCCCCTCCCCATATTCCGCCCTCCCCCTCCCTCGCCCTCCTATTTCCCTCTCCCGTTCTGTATACCCTTCCTCCCTATTCGCCTCCGTTCCTCTGTCCTGGTCACGTGACACACCAATTCAGTTTTAATAATTATTGTTAGTGTGTATAGTCGGCAGTTGGCCTCATTGGGCCTCTGGAGTCTCAGTTGTAGATGAGAAATTTAGCCAGTACTATAGCCAGCTTAATGTGAACCACCCAGTTGTGATACAAGACCACACGCCGGTACGATACTCATCGAGATCGAAACGAATATGGCTTGGGATTCATTCATACTTAAAAAGTAAGCCGTTACGAGTCGCAGATTTCTTGTAATCTGTTCCTTTATAAAGTAAATTTGTGACTGACATTTTTCTTTGTGCGGCATTATTCGTAATGTATTTTTGATACAAGATATTGAAAACTGATTATATTAACCACTCTTTAGTTTTTAAAAATATGAACATGATACAGAAACTAGAGCGCAATGAGCAGGCAATTCAGAATCAGTAATGCTTAACCGTAATCCATTTAATTGGAGGCTTCGTAATTTGTAATTGTAATACACTACATTTTTCAAGTAACGGGCGCAAGTCCGGATTCAGCCCAGCATTCCTGAGTACAGGAGCGCGAGCTTCCACTCTACGTGCTCCAAGCTGTGGTGCGTTAACAGGCTCGGCCATTGATTCCCTCTCAATTCAGTTTCCTCCAAAAATATAAAAAAATAGGATTGGGAAATTGATTGATCGATTAACGGCCGATTATTCATTTATTGTTTCCCATTTAGATTTACTTTTCAAACGGCTGAACAGTAAAAGTTTGAGGAACCAAAAAAAGCAAAAATTAAGCGTATTCACCACGCAGTAGTGGACAACTACAACAGCACGAAGGGCAAACCTTAGACAAACTTTCAGCCTAAATTAAACTGTCTAGGCGCGTGTTTTGTAACTCCAGACAATTGCAGAAGGTTACCGGTGTTCCGGCCACTGCAACGCCGTTCGAGTGTCCTATTAGCGCAGCATAAACTGTAAGTGAACAGCAGACTTTTTTGAACAACCGAGAAGGTCGCTCTTGCAGTAGAATATCAACGAATATCGGCCTGATGCAGGTGAAGTAATAATTTGAGTGCAAGTGTGAACTGCTATCAACAACTCATAGAGGTTGATATGAACTGTTATCAACTACTCATTGAGGTTGATTTGACATCAAAATTGTACATTGCGCAGTTTGTCACTAATTAAAGAAAATCAAAGCCGTTTGAAACTTCCTGTAACGCCGAATTAGAGCGCAGCTCTTCAGGAGGAGGAGGCGAAGGTACGGAGAAGAGGCTATGCCCCTCCTCTCCTGCTCGCCTCCCATTTAGGAGAAAATTTTCTGCTAAATTTATCAGGGAAATTTTTCCTCTAAATTTAGTGGGGAAGTTTTCCGCTACATTGAGTGGGGAAACTTTTTACAAAATAGAGGGGGAAATTTTCCCTTTAAATTTAGCGGGGAAATTGTTTCGCTAAATTTAGCAGGAAATGTTTCCGCTAGATATAGCGGGAAACTTTTTCCGCTAAATTTAGCGGGGAATATTTTCTGCTAGATTTAGTGGGAAAATTTTTCTGCTAGATTTAGCGGGAAAATCTTTCCGCTGAATTTAGCGGGGAAATTTTTCCGCTGAATTTAGCGGGGAAATTTTCCCGCAAAATAAAGCGGGGGAATTTTTTCAGTAAATGTAGCAAGGAAACGTTTCCGCTAGTTTTAGCGGGGAAATTTTTCCGGTAAATTCAGCAGGAAAATTATTCCGCTAGATATAGCGGTAAAATTTTTCCGCTCGATTTAGTGGGGAAAATTTTCCGCTAAACTTAGCGGGGAAGCCTTTCCGATATATTTAGCGGGTAAACTTTTCCGCTAGGTTTAGTGGGGAAATTCTTCTGCTAAATTTAGCGGGGAAATTTTTAGCTAGATTTAGCTGGGAAATTTTTCCGCTAAATTTAGCGGGGAAATTTACCCATAATGCCCCGCGTAGTTACGCCGACGGTGACGCCGACGACGCTCAAGCCGGAACCGGGCACCTAAGAGCTGGGCTCTAAGAGGCAAAATGTTTTTGATATTGTTATTAGGAATTTTTTATTACTATTATTAGGAATGAACGAGAACGAAATATCGATTCAATAATTAAGGAGTGTCGAAGTAAGGGGTTAAATTTTAGAGCGCAGCTCTGAGGGGCCCATTTCTGGTTTGAGCGGCGTCGGCGTCGCCGTCGCCGTCGGCGTAACCGCGAGGTCACGTGACCCCCCGAGGTCACGTGACCCTCCTGACGTCACACGACCCCCCCTGAGGTCACATGACCTCAAAGAGTCACCTAGCCTCAGTACGCTTCCATCCTCCTCCTCAAGAGCTGCGCTCTAATCCGGCGTTACAGGGAATTCTTTGTAAACCGCTTTCATTTTTATTCGGCGCCCGGCCATAATTAAAATATAGGTTCTTAACGCCTGGAAACACTGTTTAATGACTTCCAAACAATTTTAACTGCCGTTCCCAGAATCTGCATTTCATGCACCATTACTTTTTTTTATACCCGCACATGACCAAATCAGGTTGCGTACGCTGTTAACTAAAGGCCACTTTGTACTACATACGCGGCTAACTAAAAGCCCGGGCAGGTTCGCAGTGGGCTCGGAATGCGCTGGGGGCGGATCGAGAGCACGTCCTATAGACGTGCCGGGCATTCAAGCGACCCTTTAGCGCCATCTCAGTGCGCTGGGCCTTCATCCTAAACGGCCGCCGGATTATCACCACTGAACACATGGCCCGCACCACCGTTCCCTTCTAGACTTCTTTCAGGAAACGGGAATAAACTTCTTCCTTTGAATCTTTAATGCGTTACAAACTGACGTAAAGGAAAAAAATACGCTTAAAATGCGCCTCTACCATGTACGAAGAGAAAAACGATTCCCGGTTTCCCAATTTGTTTAATAAGTTCTTCATTTTTTAAACAGATTGATTGCAAGTTTAATGCACCGGGTATTCTTTAGTAGTAGTAGGATTACCCGTCATTCTGCTATGCCCCTTTTTCTTTTTCCTTCCACTTGAAGCGGAGTCCTTTTTTAGGATCTCATTATTTCATACTAGTTGTCAGTTATTCGTTTGCATGCTATATTACCAAAGTTTTACCGTAGCAGTTCTGCCAAATGTATACAAATGGGGTGGATAATAAAATTGAACTAAAGAAACTTACTAGACGCATCATGGACTCCCGTCCAAATTGCGAAAAAAGAAACCCACAGAAGGACGTGCGCCATCTTAAGCTCCCAAATTTTCACTCGGCTGAATGACTATCTTGCTTAAAAGAGACCCAAATATATAGCGAGATGAGCAATACGGCAAACATAATAGAACAATCCAATGTAAACAAACATTTCAAATGTCAAAATGAAAATTTCATACTCCGAATTTCAAATGTCAATTCCCATTGTAAACTGTATTATTCACGTTGTTACTACCCAGAGAGTCCGCAAGCATGTCGAGTATAAGATGATGGATTAGAAAGATGTTTCTTTGCTTAATGTCAGTGTGATATTTCAAAAGAAAACATTCGACACTTTTGAATACAACGCATCCCAGCAATCGGTCGCGCGCGGAGCGGTAGTCTAACATTTCCGCGTGAGCCTGGAGCTATTTCTTCAGCTTTGGCCACGTCTTATTATAAATGACTGCATGTATATGCAACAACGTAATCTTAAACAGCATTCCACTATGTCACCTGTCGAGACCTGTTTATAAACTGCGAGTTTTAATTAAACAACTGTCGTTTCATAAAGTGTGTTAATTGTTTACGATCCATTAAACTGTGGAAATAAATATTCTGGTGTTTCTGAAAGAACAATAAACGCATGGGCTCCTTCAAACTTGAGAAATGGTGTTCCCTCAAATGTCGAGGAGGATTAGAGACGACAAAGTAGAGTACAATCTCGCAGAGTTATCTTAAGCAGACCCCAGTTCTTTTCTATCAGAACCCCAGAAAGGGGTGAGCTACATCTTAGGTTATAGGTGCTTAGGGAGCGGCGTCACCACGGACCCCAGCCACGCGAGCCCACACACCCACCCTCAGGGTCACCTGCGTCTGTGTTAGTAGGTGTTTGGTGGGCGGCTCCATTACGAACACCGAGCCATGTGGGTTAACCTAGCCACGCCTGGCTGTTTGTGACTTAACACGTCTCCGGGAACAAGTTGATCTTGGTGGTTGAGCTGAGCCGGGGTATGTTTAGACCCTCTCGGGCTCCCCGGGCAAAGCAATATGATATTTCGGCCCCAGCTTCCCATAGGTAGGTGTCCTGTGTGTTTCCGGGCCGGAAAATTCAGTAAGTCGCCTTTCCTACCTTTGCCGTCCTTAATTCTAAATTCCCTTTGACCTCTCTCTTTTTAACGCATCAACCGTTTCTTGGACCGAAATCGGTAGCAGTAGCAGCGAAACGGCAGCTAAATTCCGATTGGCGGCGACGCGTCATATCAGATGCTTCGTCACGAATGCCGGCGGGGCCACTTCAGGTCAAAGAGGACGCGCTTCAGAAATAAAACACAAAAAAAGCACAGCAACGCAGATGCATCGTCAAGGAAGCCGTCGTGAAACCGGCGGGGCGCTCTGTGTAGGAATGCTTTCGCATTCCTATAAGTAAGCTGTCTTAAGTATCTCTGCCGATTTTTGTTTTAAACTACGCTTTATTATTTTTTGTTTTCTTATTTTTAGGCGACGCGGATCAACTTTGTGTGGAAAGAGGTCCCTTTCCTACAACCACACTCGGGTATCGTGCCTGGGCAGCACTG